ATCCCGTTCCTCATCAAATATCCACCACCTGCCTTAGCATCAGTTGATGACTTGTCTGAAGCAACCTCCTTTGTGATGCTTGCCAAATATAGCACTTCACAGCATGAAACGTGGCATCTGAATAGGCCTTACTGAAACAATGTTGCCATCTGAATTGGGTTTCGAGAGGCTATTCTAATCGCAGTGTGAAGAAGACCGGTGATGGAGATAGGGAGAGGTGACTGCAATAATCTAGGCAAAACAATTGTGGAGACAAGTGGTGGTTAAGGATAGAATGGAGGGAGGGAACATTTAAAACAGATATTCAGGTTACAGCTACTATTCTAGACTGAATGGTGAATTGTATGTGGACAGGAAGTTAATAGGAGGATGAATACTGGCCAGGGCAGTGACCTTCTGGAGGAGCACATTTTGATTATTTTGAAAATGAGTATGTGGTTTGGTAACAGAGGTATAAACTGAAGATAGAGTACTTGGAATCGCTGGCATTGAGATGGGACTGGGATATGAGACAACTCGAAGGGCTGAAAGGACAGAGGACTTAACTCAGTGGAACACCAGCATTTGGGGAAAGGAAAAGGAGGAGGAGCCAGCAAAGAAGAGAGAGAAGGTGCAGTCAGAGAGATAGGAGGACAAATAGGAGAGAATGGTCGTAGTTTATAAGGCACTAGCAGATTAGCGGGCGACCACCCCAGAGAAGTCTGGAGGAATAGGAACTTAAGACTTAAAACCTGCCCAGGAGTGGAGGCAAGGAGAGACAAAGATAGATCCAAGGAAGGCCTGGGTAGTCAAGAAGACCACGAAGACCCGAAGTGAACAGGTTCGTGCATGAAGAATGAGACACCACTAGCAGCATTCCCTTACCCTGGGCTGACTTCCCCCTGAGTTGGGGCCACTCTATCTGTATTCCCCCACAGGCCCGAAAGCCTGTTTCCTCTCTCCCATCACTATCTGCTTTCCCCACTCGCTGCCCAGACCCACTGGGAAACAGAAAATGTTACCTGCTTTACTTTTATTGTCTTGTTACCAAACACAAATGCATTGTTATATTTTTAAATATTCTACTTTAAGAAACAAGAGAAATAAAGAGAACAAAACAAAGAATGAAACAGAGTCATAAGAACTCTGCAAAAATAACAGCTGTTTGTTAATTTCTGTTGTCCTTGAAAGGTAAATGGGGCTAAAGGCACCTCTCTCAAGGTCCCTCTCTTAGGAACTGTGAGAGTCCTGGGGCAGTTTCCTTAGACTGGGTCCTGAATCTAATGATTCCATTTTTAAACCCGAGGTTACTTCTGTTACCGACTCTTGGCACCCGTTCAATTCTCAGTTTCTTGCTTCCTTTTTTTTTGTTTATTTAAAAAATCCATAGTTATTGGGATATAATTCAGATACAGCCAAAGTATTTACTCTTTTAAAATGTACCATTCAATGATTATGGCATGTGAGCCATCACCACAGTTTTAAGTTGAGAAAATTTTATCACCCCAAAAAGAAGCCTCAGACCCTCAGCGGTCTCCCCCATCATCTGTCCCCCTCCACCTCCATCGGCCCTAGGAAACCACTATTCCACTTTGTGTCTCTGTTGATTTGCCTATTCTGGACATTGCATGCAAAAGGCATCATACCGTATGTGGCCTTTTGTGTCTGGCTTCTTTCACATAGCAGAATGTTTTTAAGACTCACCGTGGTGTAGCATCTGTCTTTCCTTTTTATGGCCAAATAATATTCTATTGTATGGATACACTAACTCTGTTTTTCCATTCATTAGTTGATAGGCATTTGGGTTGTTTCCGCTTTCTGGCTATTATGACTGAAGGTGCTAAGAGCATCCCCATACAAGTTTTTGTGTGGATGTGTTTCCATTTCTTTTGGGCATATACCTAGGAGTGGGACTGTCGGATCAAAAGTAATTCTGTTTCTCCTTTGGAGAAACTACCAGACTGTTCCCAAAGCAGCTGCCCCACTTCACATGCCCATATGCACTGATTTCTCTACATCCTTACCACCACTTGTTTTTTTCATTCTGTTTCTCATGATCAGTACTTTCTGCTCTTCTCTCTGAATGGAGTGGAGGCCCCAGCTAAACTGCCCTTCTACATTTCAGCAGCCTACAGTATACTTTTGAGCCCTGGGGACAAGAAAAACAAATGCTTTTTTGTCCCCACTCATAGGCCTTGGGCCACCCTACACTGACCTGACATGACTGACTTCACTCTTTCTCAAGTCCTTTTTTGCTGGCTCCTTAAGGGTCAATCCCCCTGCTTGCCTCCCCATCAGCCTCCTTATTTCCCTTGTTCCCAGGGGTTGTGGTTTCTCAAAGTCCTCTCCCCTTTGCTGGACACCAGCATAGTAGAGTCACTTATGTTGACTTCCTTGAAATGTAAATGGGCCTAAGTTCCCCTTCTCACAGGCCCACTCTTCTATTTCATTTGAGGTATGGTAATTAGCTGGGTGTTAGCACTTTCTTAGTTTCCTAAAGAGAATATTGTTTGCTTTTGCCATTATGTCTATTATTCTGTGACTTGTTTCTATCTCCCTCAACTTTAAGTTTTTGAGATTCACCTGTGTTGTATCAGGTATCTGTAGTTCATTCACTTTCACTATGTAGTTACATAGTATTTCATTATGTGAATATGCTACACTTTATTCTTTGGTTAGTGGGCATTGAGATTGTCCCAATTTTTTGATACTACAAATGATAATGCTGTGAACATTCTTGTACATGTCTCCTGGTGTGTATGTGCAGGGTTCTCTAAGGTGTGTGTGGATCCAGGATGCAGCAGCTTGTTGTGGGGTATGCACATGTTCGACATTAGTAATCAAATTATTTTCCAAAGTGTTTATCAATTTAGACTCCACTAACAGTCTATGAGAGTTACCCATTGCTCCGAAAGTTTGCTAACACTTGGTGGTGTCAGATTTTGCCAATTGGTGTGTTCCAAACTCTCTATTAAGAAAAGATGTCTGTATTATGCTAAGTGAAGTAAGTCAGGCAGAGAAAGACAAATACCATATGATTCCATTTATATGCAGAATCTGAAAACAAAACAACAATAGAGTCATAGAAGCTGAGAAGTGATTGATGGTTACTATGGGGGACAGGCTGGGGTGGGTGTGTGAAATTGGTGAAGGGGATAAAGAGGCACAAAATCTCAATCATAATATGTTAGTCACTGCCATCAAAGGACTTTATAAAGAATATGTTCAATAATTCTGCAACATCTTTCTATGTTGACAGTAACTACAGTAGTTGGGATGAGCATTTAATAATGTATATAACTTAAGTCACTGTTGTATACTCAAAACCAATATAATATTGTATATCAGCTATACCCCAATAAAAAAATATATAAATAAAAGACTTGTAAAATTGTGATATCTAGTTGACATTTCAACCAATTCACAGGAATCCTATTAAAATATTCCTTTTAGTTGTCCTTTATTTTCAGGAAAACAAACCTTTGCATTGTAAAAATGACATTAAAACATTTTACCTATAGGTTGTTATTGAAAATGTGTCACAATTTTGAAGGAGGAAAGGATTATACTTTCAGGACTGGAAAGATGTTCCTAAAATCAATGACCACTTTCAGCTAGGTGGCAGCTGAGCATTATGGTAGTAAGAATCTAGATAAAATACATACTTTGTAAGGTTAATGCAAGACACTCCATTTAACCCAGACACAAACTTACTCTCCTCTCTTCCGATTTCTTCTTTCATCTCATTCCTCCTGGTGCCTCTGGCCTGTTTTGAAGATTTTTTATAATAGGCTTCCTGTCATGAGCTCTGGAACAAAAATGTTACACTTTGGTGTACATAACTAGCTGTGCAATCCAGGGCTCTAGATAACGTAGGACCACCTTGCTTAGGGTGTTGCCAAGAAGAATAAATTAGGTATCATATTAGATATGACTCTTGGCACATTTTATAAAGAATGACGGACATGATCTCACCTTCTAAATGTTAGCCTATACTTCATACCCCCAAATATTTCAATCCATAAAATTTGTTCTCTCTAGAATTATTTTTCTCCATTAATTCCAGGGAGGGGTGTGTATGTGTGAATAGAAACCATTCCTAATTTCTTTTCTCTTACCACCTCTTCTCCCAGAGATTTCTGCCTTGTGTCTAAGATTCTTTGAAAAAGTAGCAATATCTTCATGATTCTGTTTCCCTGAACAGTGCTCCACCCAAACCGATATTCTGCAAACTCATAATCATCAACCTTTCTTAAAGTGTGCAGTAATCAAGCTATAAATAAAAGGTAAAGTCTTGGCTTCAAGACTTCTGCATGAAGTCTCGGCAATTGGAAGGCTTACTAGTCCACTTGTCTTCCCATTACCAGTCTGCGTCATTGCTTTTTTTCATGTCTCACCAACACCTCTTCCTCTAGTTCTGTATATCTGACCTAAGGTAGACACTTAAAATTTTTTTTACCTTTTAATTGTGGTAAAAATGCACAGAACCTAAAATTTCCCGTCTTAATCATTTTAAATGTGCTGTTCAGTAGCATTAGTGCATGCACACTGTTGTACATCTAACCTCCAGCATTCTTTCCATCTTGCGAAACAGAAACCCTACACATTAAACACTAACTCTCCATTACCCCTTCTCCCAATCCATGCCAACCACCATCCTACTCATCCTACTTTCTGTCTTGGAATTTGACTATAGGTACCTCAAGTAGAATCATGCAACGTTTGTCTTTTTGTGACTGGCTTATTTCACTTAGTGTGTCCTCAAGGTCCATCCATGTTGTAGTATGTGTCAGAATTTACTTCTTTTTAAGGCTGAATAATAGACCATTATATGTATATACCACATTTTCTTTGTCCATTCATCTGATTTTGTTTATCCATCCACCAGGTAGATGGACCCCTGGGTTACTTCCACCTTTTTGCTATGGTGAATAATGTTGCTATGAATATGGGTATACAAGTATCTTCAGGACCTGCTGTCAGGTTTTTGTTTTTATAGACCCAATATACCCAGAAGTGGAACTGCCGGATCATACAGTAATTCTACTTTTTAATTTTTTGAGAAACTGCCATACTGTTCTCCATCGTGGCTGCACCACGGTACGGCAGGCACTTTAAAAATGTCTGTCATGCCCAAGGGGGACGAACAATTGCTGTACTATAGATGACAGCCGAGGAGAAAGATTGTATGGCCAAGAAAGAACACTGTCAATTATCAGGCTTTATTAGAAAATGATTGCTTAAAAGCATGGAATTCCTAGAATTTGGAGACACATTATAAACCATTTGGTCCACTCTCCTACTCACAGACGAGTAAACTGGGACTCTGAGAGGACAAGAGGTTGGTGAAGGTCACAGGGCTAGTTAAGGGAAGAATCAGACTGGCATCCAGGGCTTTCCGATCTTCAACTTACTGCAAAGAAATTGATTTTCAACTTGAAATATTAGGCGATGAAGAACAAGAATTATGGATTAAATAATTAGAAAACATCCTCTGGGGTACAGTGTGTTCTGCTTTTGTTTCCACGGCTGGCTTTTGGCCTCTCTGATTGCCTGGGCGGACACTGAAACCAAGCCTGCTTGTCTTGCTGCCTCTGCTGGTCCTGGACCTCCTAAGAGATGGAGGGGGAGTCAAAGAAAACCAGTTCTCAGTCAGGATCCGCGGGAGACGTGAAACGCGACCCTCTGCTCACCTGGACGCTGGCCAGAACCACGGGTGTGTGGCGCAGATCTAGCTCCCAGCTGGGGCCTCTATGGCCCCGCGCTGTCCCCACGTTGCGGGATCCGAATGAGAGGGTTCAGGGTCTCCCGGGGACAAGGAGCTCTTGCCGTGCCTTCTCCCCAGCCGGAGCCCCGGCGCCGGTGCGACTTCCCGGGCGCAAGCGTGCCCAGTATCCCCCCGCGGAGCGCGGGCTGCGGACCACGGTGGGCACGTGTGCTCGGCCGCAGCGCTGCACCAGGCGCCACCCGCCCGGCTCGGCCCAACAGCGCGGCTCCCGCCGGGGCCCCTGCCGGTGGGGAGAGGGATCCTCCCCCTTCCACTTTGCACCAGTCCGAGGGAATTTGCGGTCGGTGACGCGCATCCTTGAGCGAGCCACCTGCAGCGCGGGGCGCGCCGCTCCGGGCGGCTTCGCAGGGCTGGGCCGGCGCGGCCTGGGGACCCCGGGCTCCGGAGGCCATGCCGGCGTTGGCGTGCCTTGGCGGCCGGCTGCTGCTGCTCGGTAAGGCCCTGCTCCGCCGCTCGCAGCCCCCACGGCCCCGACGCGGCCCCGGCGCCCACCCAGTAGCGCGGACGCGGACGCGCGCCTGCTGCGTCCCCACCGCCTCGCCCGTTCCCGCGCGCGCTCCTGCCCTCGCACCCGCGCCCCTCCTCTCTCCCGCCTCCTGCCCGCGTCCCCTGCCTCTTCCCCCCCACGTCCTCCTCCCTCTGCTCGGGCTCGGGGCGCGCTCCGGAGCCGTGGCCGGGACCCCGCAGGCGGCCTCGCCAGGAGCTGCCCGGGCCGGGACCGCATCGCCCGCCCGCCCATCCGCCGCGCCCTGGGTGGGGCCGCCCGCAGGAGCCTGCGGCCCCGAGGGGGGCGCCAGGTGGCCCGGACCGACCCCGAGTCCAAACGGCAGACTCCCGGCTGGTGTCTTTAACTCTTCTTGTCAGGTTTTGATTTATGGAGTGAACTCCAATGGGAAAATGCGCCCGCGTTCTCCCCCGAATAACCATTTCGAGTTTATTACCCCTACCCCCGCCGGATTTTGGTTGGATCAAAGAATAGTTACTTGGAAATGTTATGCAAACAAGATTAACATTAAAATGCTAGCTGCCCCTTCCTCCAGTACTCTATTTTTATCCTGGCATTAAACCCGAAAGGGGTTTTCAAGGACTCGGCTGTTTCCAGATAATCTACTGGGTAGCATAGTTGTTACTGAAAAAATAAAAATCCCTTTAGATCCAATTCATCCACTTGGAAAGATGAGAGGATTGATTTGAACTTAGGGTGAACGAGACAGAGTTCGGGGAGCCCCGGAGACTCATGTCCCTGTCCCAGTTCTCCAACCTTGGGACCCGCACTCATCACCCCCGTAGGGAGTCTGACTGGGTCTCCTCCGGCTCCAAATTTCTAGCATTCTAACTTGAAGTCTCTGTCGTTTATAGAGAAAATATTTGCAATACAGATGTGCAGGATTATTTCCAGTAGCTTTTGTTACAAATACTTCAGAATTACAGAGTAAGAAATGTAACATTAAGGGAAAAAGAGTGGAAAAACAAACATTTTGCATTTCTTAGCAGACATTTATCTTTGTTAATTGGTTAGTAAGTACATTTCAGATGCAGAGTACGATATTTTTTAGTCTAGTAATACAAAAAGTTAACCTTCTGTTATTTTTGATGTTAAGTGAATTTTTCAGTAGCATACAAAGGCTTTCTAAAAGTATAAAGATCAATACTTGCAACTGTATTTAAGCTGCATTGAATTCTTTCATATTTAGGATCTCAGAAATTTCTACGTATCTCCAGATTTTTCTAAATGAAGTATAATTTGCATACAGCAAATATGCACACATCTTAGCAGTACAACTCCACTCATTTTTATATATGGATATACCATATGGGATCAAGATACAGGGCAACTCTAGTTCAGCCCCAAAGGTAGCCACTATTGTAACTTCTAGTGCCTTTGTTTTGCCTGTTTTTGAACTTCATGTAAACCAAACGATCATTATGTACTCTTTTATGTCCAGCTTCTTTCACTCAACATTGTGATTATGAGGTTCAATCTTTGTCTCAGTAGCAGTGTTTTCTTTTTCTTTTTTCTTTTGCTGGGTGCCATTCCTTAGTATGAATATGCTCTACGATTTATTTATGCATTCTATTGTTGAAGAATATTTAGGTTGTTTCTAATTTCATGTAATTAAGAATAATACTGCCATGAACATTCTTTCACATGGTTTTGGTGGACATAAACACCCACTGCTCTAAGGATGATACCCATGAGTAGAATTCCAAGATCATAGGGGAAGGTACATGTTCAGTTCTGATAGATTCTGCCACAGTTTTCCCAAGTGGTTACACCAGTTTACATTCCCACTAGCAGCATAAGGGAATTCCAGTTCCTCACATCTTTACCAACACTTGGAAATAAAGATTTTCTTGAAGAAAGAAGCATAACATGAGAGGCTTTAAAGTGAGAACTTAGTGTTTAAGAGCTTTAAATTCCTTGAATTATAAGATGTGATCCCCATTTCCTTTACCCTGTAAGCTCTACATTTCATGAATGATGATAAAGCTTTCTAAGTAGTATTTGAAGAATGGAAAGTGCCCCCCCCTGGCTTTCACTGCATTAGGTGCTCATACTGGCCAGGAAGAGGGGGATCTCAATATTTCAATAACCGTGATACCATCTCTTTCATTAGTGTCAGAAAATTCATATTCAGAGCCCTGCATCACACATTTCAGCTGCCATTCTTTGTCCTTGTTGCTTATTTTATTTGCCTTCTTGTGATGTGCTAGCCTAACGGGGAATGATTCAGGGCGAGGTGGAGGAAAGAGAAGCCAGGCAAAGACTGGTTTGGCTTGAACAGGATGCCCGACCTGGTGACCAGACGTTAAGGTCCTCTTTGATTCTAAAAGTCTTGTTCTATTTGTTGCCATCATACAAGTTGAGATTGGGTATTCATTTCTTCTTAGGTACTTCATGTCTGTCTATAGTAAATTATCCTCTTAGGTTTAATCGTGAACTGCTTGCCTTCCATTAAAGAATGGCTCTACTTTTTATAACTACAAAGGCACTTACAGTAACTCGTAGCTGTCACTAATGATTTTTGTTGCTGTTGTTTAACTGAAAAACGATTGGGTTATGAGATATTAGATGTGGAGGGGGGAGACTTACTTATATTCCAGGAAAGATTTCATATAAGAAAGATGAAGGAGAAGCATGCAGGAAAAGAAAAAATTTTGTTCAACAAACTTTTATTGAATACCTATTTCTGTGCTAGACACAAAGGGTACGAAGATGAAAGAGATGTGTATGGGGAACTTACATATAAATAACTAATTCCATTCTGTTTAAATGCATGGCCATTGCATTTCCCCAGGAAAAGCATTTCAACCCAAAGCTTGCTTTCAGTTAGTTAAACCTTCAAACACAACTATTATGATCACTAAGTATCTATAGATGAAAAATAGCATACTTCAATGAAGGAAGCTTCAACCAGGTCAAACTAGAAACCTCAGGGTTGTTGTCCCCTAAAGCTACTTATGCTTGGATCTGCTGTATGTAGTGGTTGTGGGAAGGAAGCCGCTCCTCCATTTAAAATAAAATGAATGCACTGTTAAAGAGGTAATCATTTCAGAATTAAAGATGGCCATCTTTTAGGTTTTGAGAAGAAAAAATTTCCAGGTGGTTCCTTGAACAAAGTTTGACCTCCTTTTACTCCTGAGAACATCGCTGCTCCCTCGAGAAGCCCACAGGATGGCTCAGATTCATCCATTTCTCCACAGGTCTTTCTATTCCTCTCATCTTGTCACTCTCAAATGCAACTCAGAAGGCAGTATGACGAGAGACTTTATCATTCAACGTCCATGATTACAGTCTTGCTGACTCCCCAGATACCCACCAGATGTTGCCTTAATCTTTGGTTAAAGATTCTGGTTTGAGAAAAGTCATCTCAGAAGTAATGCTTTTCATCCTTTGATTTTGAAAGGACCTTGCAGAGAAGAGAATTTGGAGAGGGGATATTGAGGGGCTGAGAATTAGCTTAGCCTGTATTATAAAATCATAAAAGCTTTGGTCTTACACTGCTCTACCCTTCATTCATTCTGAAATAGTGAACTCGTGAATCTCACAATAGGTGGTTTGTCTCTGTAGAGGTTTTTCATTTTTATCAGGTGACTTTGTGGTCTTAAGATTTTTCCATTAACTTCCAAAAAGCCTGAACCATTTGTTACATTGCCGGAGTTAGGTGGCCAAAGGTTTTTCTGTGTTTTGGAGTTTTCCTTTATGAGCTTTATACCTGGGTGATATAATTACCTTTGGTTGACAGCTTCTATGCCTGTATTGTCAGTGATTCCCCAGGTGATGAACGCTTTTGTAGGACTCGCTGTTGGTCGTTAAGTTGAATCATGCAATTCTGTTCTATGGGTACCAACACATGTGGAGGAAATTTAAAAATAATACAAAGTACACACACAGTGTTCTTTTGTGGCTAGAAAAATTGCATAAGATCTTGAAAGAGGAACTATTGTTATTTTTTAGGTTAAACAGTAAAATATTTTTTCACCGCTGTCATTATAAGTCAATTGGTAGCCAAGAATCCTCCATAAAATTATTTACAGTCTACATTTAAATAGGATATTGTCATTATTTCTTTAAACTTGTGTTTTGATTATAAGATGTTCACTGAATTCAGTGTTCAAATGACTTGCTATTGAGTTATGATTTTCCTAATGTTGGGGGTTTTTTTGTTCTTGGAGGCAAGGCAGATAGATATCTTAGGACTACCAACCCAGTTAAGAAATGTGGGTTCTTTACTCCGGCAGGGAATTTCTCTGCATTTAAGTTCCTCATTTGTAATAAGGAGATAAGCAGAATCTTACTCCTTCATCATATAATACCTGTAAAGTACAGCTGCACTCCCTGTTAGGCAGGTGCTTTGCAGGAAGAAATATATAAAGTCTGAAGAAATCATTAGGATTTAGAGTCATGGGAGTTTGCTCCTGACCTTCTTAGACACCATCTATGTCCAGGACTTGAGTTAAGGGTCCCATAATGGTTCCTGCCCGCAAAGAGCCCACAGTCTAACGTTGGGATGTTGGCAGGAAAGGGTCACATACAAAGAAAATTGCAGTGCAATTTCAGAACTGTGCACAGAGGTTGAGCCTCTAACCCAGAGTGACAAAGTAAGGCAAAGCTTCCAAGACGAGGTGATATGATAAGCTTGACTAGAAAGATAAGTAAGAGGTGCCAGGGAAAGTGGAGGATAAAGGGAGTCCAGGCCCACAGGACAGTATATGAAAAGGTACGGATGTAAGAAGCATGGAGTAGACAGAAAACTATCATTCCATACTGGCCTACTGAGACACAAGGTATGAGGCCTCCAGGATAGGCTGACTATCATTTACAAAGTTGTAACTCAGAAAATTGTTTGAATACTGCTCAATGGACAGCTTTTTTAAAAATTCAGGGTTGCCAGAGGCTCTGCGTGTAATATGTCAGAAGTCTTTTAGTTA